TCCCACAACACTGTCGTATTACTTACTAAGACTGCATTTCTATTATTCTTATCTTTCTTCCTAGTACCTATCTCTTCCCACTTATGACTATAACCATGTTGCTTGTATCTTTAAAATTTATAGTTTTATTTGTTTCCTAGTATGATTTGATTGCTTATTAGTAACCTATGACTATCACTCAATTTTATATCTTATGATTCTTGATGAATGCATTCTATTTTATTTTTTCTTATGTACTCGGATAGCATATCCGTGTACATAGTCAAATTCCTTGTGTGTCCAATCACACTTGGCCAATTCTATTCTTCTATTATACATGTGCCTGTATACATATATACACACACAGATCCCAGTGTTGTTGCCTTTTGAATAGATATCCGGAAGCCATTCAAATTATGTTAAATTCAATCTCTACCATTTTTTCACTAGTTGTAGTGGAATTGGATACAGGCAGGTTTAGAAAAAAAAAGCTCTGGCTTAGCACCCAGATTCTGCCTCTCTGGAGGATGTAAATGGAATGTTTACATTATTAATTAATGTGGTTTATTCCAATAAACTGATACAACTAACCAATTCCCAACCCCCTTGACCTGGCCAACCACTCAGGTCTAACTTTGATTTTCACAGTGCTGATGGATGCATTTGTTAAAATACTCTTGAGAAATGGGAGAATGAAAAAATACCTGATGATTATCCCTGGTACATCCTATGGAGTCTTCGGAGATGCACATGCTTTCAGAATCTTTTTCTCCCCATTTTGCTCATAGCTTTCCCATCCCAAATGACGTAATCTTCTGGATGGATGCGACCTGTTTCTAATCAAACTGCCCTTATCTGATGGGGAATCAGGAATCCAAGAAGGCAGCAGGCTATTTGAAAGGACAGTGAGAAAACTGGGAGATTTCATCCAATCAGAAGTGGCTGAAGGAAGAAGAACATGATACAAGTACAGAAGAAATAATTTGATGGAGAGAAAAGAAAAATGATAAGAATTTGTATGTGGTAAAGTAAAGAAATGTAATCTTTGTTTTAGCTGTATGCTCTAGCTCTATCCCTCCTTCCATTCCAGTATGGTGAGAAAAAAGGAAAAAACTCCCAGAAACTGCCTTTATCTTTGCCTTTTTTAGTGATTGTTTTTCCCAGAAATCACAGCATTAAAGCAGAGCCCAACTATAAGGAGCCAAAACTCAGTGATTCCAAGTCAAACTCAGAGAGTATATTCCTAACTACAATTAGTAGCGATTTCTAACTTTTAAAGATCTTATTGATTTTTTATTGTTTATATTTTGTTAATGCTTAATAAACATCGTAGGGACACGGAGGCTTAGTGGCTAAGATGCTGAGTTTGTCAATCTGAAAGGTTGGCAGTTTGGCGGTTTGAATCCCTAGTAATGGAGTGAGCTCCTGTTACTTGTCCCAGCTTCTGCCAACCTAGCAGTTCGAAAGCATGTAAAAATGCAAGTAGAAAAATAGGGACCACTTTGGTGGGAAGGTAACAGCGTTTCGTGCACCTTCAGTTTTAGTCATGCCAGCCAGATGACCACAGAGACGTTTTTGGACAGCACTGGCTCTTCAGCTTTGAAACAGAGATGAGCACTGCCCCCTAGAGTTGGGAATGACTAGCTCATATGTGCGAGGGGAACATTTACCTTTATCCAATAAACATTGTGTTGTCTGTGTTATTTAAATTGAAATTGAAATTGAAATTGAAATTGAATGAATTTATATGCCGCCCAATCCCGAAGGACTCCGGGCGGCTTACAGAATACAACACTAAAAAAGATAAAAATTAGAAATAAGGAAGAGGAAACAGATTAAAAAGAAACACGTCATGTATTCAATGTAGGCGGGGCTGGACCTCATT